GTTTCGACGTTCTAACATTAACCACTTTTTGGACATTTAGATACGAGTACATATATAAATAATTTGTCACGTTATTAGTATGTCTACAAATGGGCACCTCACACGTCATATAGTTTGTCAATTTTACAATAAAAACATTTATATTTATAAACTTTCCTCTCAAATACACTGCAGTCCGAAATGTCACGTCACCGATTATTTTCGGGTAGTATTTCAAACTAAAAATATAAATATATTTTATTAAATTAACTAACACATTTTAGAGAAAAAGATAATTGTGGGAGGTAGTATTATATTTTTTATGGAACTTAGAATGGCAAACCAGCTGATGGTCCAACTGACGAAAATATTTGGAATTTTAAAATACTTATTTTATAATTGCAAATATATAAAAAATTAACTATTTATAATACTTTTCCGAAAATTTTGTATCCATTTCCGTTATTAGGGGAGATTCCGTTATTAAGTTTAGTGCATGATAATGGAACGGTAATCCCGCCTGCACTACCGGTATACGCTGGCGAGGCAACAGTGAGTAGGTAAGGATAAAAGCAGTTCAGTTAGCCTATTGTGACGGGTTCCACAAGAATTAATCACAATGGTTTCCATGGGAAATCGAGTGAAGGTCGATCTCACAGGGTTTTTTTTTAATGGGTGATAATGGAATGGTAACCCCGCCTACGCTATCGGTATACTCTGGCGGGTCACCAGTGAGAGATGATAGGTGAGGATGTAGCAGGTCAGTTTGCCCACCGTGATGAATTCCACTAGAACTAACCACGATGATTTCCAGGGGAACCGCGTGAACGTCGATCTGATAGGCACCTATCATCCTTCCCTGGTGCCTCGCCGGCGTATATGCGCAGGCGAGGTTACCATTCCATTATCACCCATTAAAAAAAACTTACCTGCCTTTTCATCCTCACAATTCATCCCTCACTGGTGCCCCGCCAGTGTATACCGATAGGACAGGCGGTTACATTCAGTTACCACAGTTACATACATACAGTTACCATTCCATTATCATCCATTAAAAAAATTAAAAAAAAGCTATCTTCCAAGCAAAGCATAAGAATAAACTGACTGAGTAGACAGGACCATAATCTTTATTTACTTTGGTTCTATATACCTATATATTATAAATTTGTTATACTAAATAGATACACAGACTTTATTTATAGCATTTATTCAGGTAATAGGTCAAAAATAAACAAATTGTTAAACAGTTTAAATATTTGATTAAGAAGCGTCGTGTAGGTATCGCTACAGTAGGTATGATAATGATATTTAATTCATGACAAACCTTGAAATTGACACGTAAAGACGTTTTTAAACATATTGTTTTGGACAATACATCAAAATGTCTATTCTACATCAGACAATTATGTATTTGACTGTTATCTATAATTTTATAATCAAGTCACGAAACAAAACAAACAGACTTATGGCACAGGTCGCTTATTTGATAATAATATCTACAATATACAATATACTATTACAGAATCATTATATAGTAGTACTGGTACTGTCTACAATTATACTATCTAACCAAAGAATATAATACCCAGAAGATAAGATACTAGGAAATATGCTGGGACAAGACCACTAATACAGGCAAGCGAGGCTTGTGTCTGTGTGCGTAGTGTTAACTCGCTCACTCATACATACATGCCGCGTTAGAATAATCCGGTTTATGCTGGTTCGCTGAGCTCAGTGCCACATTTTGAGGGTTGCATGACGCACGTCTGTTTAAGCAAAACTTTCTAATGCACTGTACACTGTGCAAGAACAACAAAAATAAGTTAAAAATATTTTTCTTTGTCCTAAAGACGCTTTATTATAATACATATTAAAATAGATTTATTACAAGTACATATGTTTAGATCACGTAAAACATAAATTTACTACGCGGATGTACCTATTGAATTTTTTTATTTGAATATTCAGTATTTTACGATTATACTGATATTATGAAATAAAAAAAAAATTGGACTAAATTGACTTAATTTGATTTAGTTTGACTAATTTTGGCCCAATTTGGCTAAAATTAGTCATACTACTAGACCTAAATTCAGATTGATACGGTCACTCATAAATATCAATGTTTCTATTATTCAGTTATCGAATACCCGACCATCGAAAGGTCAGGCGATGTGAGGTTTTTATAATGTAATGTATATGAATGTAATATTTAAAGTACATATTTTTAAAGAGTAATCACTTTTTAAAAATAATTTCACTAAAAAAATATTGTTATAAGAAACTAGCTATTTTCGCGGCTTCGCCCACGTGAATATAATAATGCATTAGTTTGGGATATAACTAAATTTTATTCAAATCCATTAAACCATTTAAGCATGATTGATTAAAAAACATACTGCTACGAATACGGTATGTGATCATGCTTTGAGTACTAGTAGATTTTATAAAAAAAAAAAATAAAATTCTTCGTTTTCGCTATAAGTATCGTTTTCACTGACTTGATGATTCAAAAAGTGACTATATTTGGATTATGGTAAAAAAATCATTTTTTTCAATTTATTTAACTCTCTTGTGGAAACCCTTAGATATTTATCGATACATCAAAAGAGCTTTCCTTCTGGCTATTCTGTGACCATACTATTTTCGGACACTAGGCAGTCTTTCAGTTCAGTGTTGTTTTAAAAAATAAATCGTCAAGGTTTATTTTTGTAACAGAAAACATTAATAATGTATAAAGTCTCGTCTAAACTATACGATATTTCGGTAGAATAAAATATAATTCGCTCTTGAATAAAATTTTTAGTGTGAATAAATTCTTACTTATTGATATCTTAGAGGTTTTTGAAATACTTTTATCGACTAAGCCTGACAAGCGACAACAGCCCAATATGTGCTTTCAGGCACAGGCCGTCAACTCAGCTCAACTAGTCGTCAAGTTTGGGATATATAAAATGATAATTAACGTAACCCATTCCTTAAAACTGGTATTAGTATTCATTAAAATGGTCTCAAAAAAAATTATTTCCTTTTAAATATTTTATATTACCAAAAAATTATAATGAATGTAAATTATAAAAATCAATTAAAATTCTCGAAAAAAAGAACAACTTATATTTGTACTAACGGCACTACACAGTACAAAGTACACATACTATCAATTATTACATAGTACTGTTGATACAGATAGTTTTTTTTTTTTCGTAAATTTTAATATTGTCGTTCAATTTTTTAGTAAAAAAATTCTAAGAAAAAATTTTTAGTTACCCTACTACGTACGTAACCCATTCCTTAAAACTGATGTTAGTATTCATTACTACCTATAAACTGGTGTTAGTAATTAATACTAGCACCAGTTTTAAGGAATGGGTTACGTTAATAAACAACTATAAATAAGTATTATTATTTGGAATGGAAAAGAACCATAAGCTTCTTCAAATTAATGCAAATGATCGTTATTTCTTTTTTGCCATTATTTTAACTTTTTTGCATAACTGTGATACTATATACGATATGATAACTTCTTTGTGTACTATTATGTTTTAATGTATTTTCCTATTTACTTAATGTCCATTTATATTTACCCTATTATGTGTAAGATTGTGTGACTTAACAGGTCAACCAATTATCGTAAAATTCGGTATAGGCACAATATGGTCTGGAGAAAGACACACGTATACGTCATGCCTGTTTCCCATTGGTTGCAAAAACAGTGGTACTCCAAATACTCCAATTCAAATAGACCTCTTTCGTTTTTTTTATACCACTGAGGTGGCAAACAAGCATACGGCCTACCTGAGGGTAAGTGGTTACCGAAGCCTATGAACACCTGCAATACCAAAAGTATTACGCGTGCGTTGCCGACCCTGAATAAACCTCTTTACCCCTCCCCCCCTTTTTGAAAAACCCCATGCTGTACGCTCTTGGGAAAACCTCGGCAGGGAGCTCATTCCATAACCTGAGTGTTCGTGGGAGGAAACATCTCTGAAACCGTGCTATACGCGACCATTGAGGCTGTAGGATATGAGGATGAACTTCCTATCGATGGCGAGTCGTACGATGGTAGAAAGTGGCCGTGAGCATCATATTGAACAATTCCTCTGAGCACAATCCGTTGTACAAGCGGTAGAACACGCAGAGTGAGGCAAAATCTCTCCTAAGACTTAAGGGTTTGATACGGCTTGTAAGCCTGGAATCACCGACAATTCTCATAGCTCGTCGTTGTAACGAATCGAAGGGTTCAAGCTGGTATTAGCAATACTCCATGTGGGGCTGGATTTGCGATTTGTAGAGAATTAATCGCTGATCCGGCATGAAATAATGCTTCGCTCTATTAAGCACACCGAGTTTTTTGAATGCCAGCTTCGCCTTATCTTTGAGGTGGCCACGGAATTGTACATCACTAGAGATGTCGACACCAAGAATCCCAATGTTTTTAGAGATATTAAGACACGTGCCTTGGAACTGTGGAGCCACAGCAAATGGTTTTTTTTAGCTGTAAACGCGAAAGCTTAAACTGGACTAAGTTTTGTTGTCCCCAATCGGAGATTCTTGTTAACATTCTCGCTTCCTCCACATTGATCAATCTATTCATACACGCTCGCTGGTTACCAGTGCTTTTTTGACATATATCCATGTAGGGCACTCCCTTCTGACATCTTCACTCTTTCAAGCTCGATAAATCTCTTATGTAATTCTTCTGTTAGCCATTAGAAGAGAACGGGTCCTCTTCGAAAGGACAAACTATCACTTCAAATTTATCTCGGTTAATCGACATGTAAAGGTCACGTGAAAGAGGTCACGAATAAAAGCTAGTTTATAATATGTATGATTTTATATATAAAAGTATTAAAGCATGTCTACCATATATCTAGTTCCTATAATACAAGCTCTGCTTAGTTTGAATAGTCCTAAACTACGGTTAACCGTCCAGTGACGGCGCTGTCTAATTTATGTATGTCCAATGGTATTTATTTTATTTTTTCTATAACAGCATACCTATTAGTAATTATATTACTTACCGCGAAATTTAAGCCACTTAGATCTGGATCTCCGTTTTTCAACCATTCATAAAATTCCATCGCATTGTCTGTAGGGTCGCCCTCGCCGTACGTCGCCATACAGAACACAGCTAACGAGTTTTCTATATCTGGCAATTTCGTGAGTTCCTCCTAAAAATCAATGGTATGTTATCTATTTGGTCTAAGGAAGCTAACTCTTACTAATTTTGTATTAAAATTGTAACTAGACGATGTAGGTATATAAGAGATACCCATTTGATAATCAAGAAAAATTTTTATATGAGGAATCTAAATAAGTGCAACAGAAATTAAAACAATAATTTTAAGAGTTTTTGTCTGTCTGTCTGACTATGTTTGTTCTGGCATTATAAAACCTACTGGACCAAATTGATGCGATCGAACTTAATTTCTGGAGTATATTTTATTATCTACTTCCAAAATCCACGTGTCCGAAATTGCGGGCAAAAGCAATTAAAAATAAATGTAAAATAACAATTATTTAAGTACGAACCATATCACATTCCTCCGGGTCAGCCACCATTCCTTTCATTTTATATCGTGCGCCTTCTTTGGCAAGACGGCCAGCGAATTCTTCACCGGTTCCTGTTTGTGAACCATAAAATACGACTAATTTTCTTCCAGACGACTGTAATTTTTTAATAAAAGAATTTTCCGTAACTTGGATAGACCCGGCCGTCCTGCAATAAACAATAACTGCTTTAATACATGAATAATAATCCTCTGATACTATTATCAGAATATAAGTTTGTGTCTAATAAATAAATAAGTTTTCACTTCGTTTAAATTTATTTTTTTTTATATGAGATGACAAAGTAAATATAAACAATATGTTAAATTCATAAACTCCTAGAAATTATGGACTCGACTTGACTACTTACTAAAATATTTGGTAGGTAATACTATCAATAAATAGCTTGTATAACAATAAGTAATACAAAAATATACCGCAGCATTTAGCAAATCCTCTCTCATACATACAGCAACAATCAATCAATCGTGATTTGACATGATCACATTTCATTATTCCAAGATAATAAGTTTTTAGTCATATTAAACTATTTTATATGCTTTCATAGCTTTGCATGTCATTGCGTACTACTAACAAGCTTTTATCGCATAGAACTTGTGAGTTCAAATACACTATCAATAAATAGCTTGTATAACAATAAGTAATACAAAAATATACCGCAGCATTTAGCAAGTCCTTTCTCACACATACAACAACAATCAATCATGTCAAATCTCACTCAGTGTAGAATCACATTTCATTATTCCAACATAAGTTTTTAGTCATATGAAACTATTTTACGAGTATATGCTTGCATAGCTTCGCATGTCATTGGGTACTTATTTACAAGTTTTTATCGCATACGAGGTCTGTCCGGAAAGTTCGTATAAAAGTGTTCTGGAATGCGAGAAAGAGGAGTGGGGAGGCCAGGTAAGCGCAGGACCCCTTCCTTATGTCAACAATGCTTCAGTTCTGGTCTGACCGCCGTGCGGTGCGATGTCATCTGTGAAGTTACTTATTTCCGTTGAAGAGCAGCGCGTCGTTCAAGTTTCTCTCGAAACTCGGCAAGACTGGCCGTGAAATTTTTGCCGATCTCAGAACAGTAAAATCCCAAAGCAAAGAGTGGAAGACATCCGGGGAACCACGAACAAAAAAATCAAGAAAATCCCGCTCAAATGTCAAGACAATGTTGATTGTTTTTTTCGATGTTCGGGGGATTGTCCATCAAGAATTATTGATGGAAAATTCTTCGATGTGCTCAGACGCCTCAAAGCTCGTGTGGCACGAGTTCGTCCAGAATTGGCGCGAGAGGGGCGTTGGATTCTTCACCACGACAATGCCCCTGCCCACACCTCTCTTGTTGTCCGTGAGTTTTTGAGTAAAAATTCCATTACGGTGACCGAACACCCCCCTATTCGCCGGATTTGGCCCCGTGTGACTTCTTCTTGTTCCCAAAAACCAAATTGGTACTTCGGGGGCGGCATTTGGGGGACATAAATGAGATAAAAAAAGCTACGACGGGGCAGCTGAGAAACCTACAACCAGAGGACTTTCAAGGAGCCTTCTCAGTGGAAACGGCGTTGGCACAAGTGCATTATGTTTTAAAACAATAATTGTAAAATAAAATTTTTAAAAAACTTTTATACGTCCTTTCCGGACAAACCTCGTATAACTTGTGAGTTCAAATAAACTTGGTTGGTTATTATCTTAGTAAATAAACTCTTTGACTAGTCCGTCCTGTTATTTTTAAAACATAATAGTCTACGTTTAAGTTTGATCAACGCAAATCGAATTAAATACGGAAATTTTTGGCCTGCAATCCTACGTCTATTTAAATAACTTAACGACTGGATGTCTTTCTTTTTTTTTAACAATAAGAGTAGGTTTTTGGTTCGATAGTATTTTTTACACAGTAAGTAAAATAAGGAACCCCATTACCGAAAACCACTTATATGAACACTTAAATCTATACTAATATTAGGTATAAAAGGAATAATTTGATTGTTTGTTTGTATTGGATAAACTCAAAAACTACTCAATCAATTTCAAAAATTCTTTTACCTATAGAAAACTTCTTTCATCAGCGAGTAACATACACTACACAATTATTATCGAAAATTTTATCTACTCGCACGAAGCAAGGCCGGATCACTGATTGATTAAAAAAATAGAATATTAAGTCATAATTAAATATTTTTAGAGATTCTTAAAATAAAAATCAATATTATATTGTTTGGATGTTTACAAAAATAAATATAGCGCTGTCGTTAACGCTCATAGGCACAGAATAGATATACCCAAAAATAAGAGACTAGAAAGTATGTAAGGGATTAGAATAGTATTACAAGTAAACGATGTTTTTATGTGTAGTAGGCATGGTAATAATTAAAAAAAAATCATTATTTTTTAGAGTACGATTTTATTTTTCCTTGTCAAGGCGATATCACAAGTGATAAATTACAAAAGTGATTATGGACACTAAATCACCATTTTGTTAATTATATAATTAACTAAGTATAAACAATTTATTACGTGAATAGCGTAGAGAGCGAATGCCACAAGTGTATTTAAAAAATGGACGAAATTTGAAAAATAATTATATACCTAAGTACCTATAAATCTCTATCAGTATGGTGTCAAAATTACAACCCCAAATTAATATAGGATAATAATAATACTCTTTATTACGCACAAAAAAGATTTATACAAGGAGTATTTATACAAAATGTGCATATACAAAAGGCGGCTTTATCGCTAAAAGCAATCTTTTACAGGCAACCTGGCACAAGTAGTAAATAAGTACAGAGAGAAAGGTACATGGCGCAAGTCAGACACAGTAAATACAAAAAAAGTAACCAAATAAAAAGCATATTATTCTAAATATCATCGATATAAAAATAAGGCTAAATTACATAAGCGTACATATACAATATAAATAAAAGTACATAAATACACTAAATAGATCAAGATAAATAACACGTAGTAAACATCAAGGCAAATTAAAGATAGGTAATGAGATTCTGCCTGCCTCTTGAACGAGTCAAGAGATTGCGCTAATATAATGGAAAGGGGTAAGGAATCCCAGAAACTGATAGCTCGGATGCTGAAAGATTAGGAATAGAATTTAGAAGAATGAATATAAGTTACTAAACGAAGGGATCTCATGTTGCGCAATGTACGATCCTGAGAATCGACATGAAACTCAAAGCATATCTTGAGGTAATCAGGAGTTAAAGGGTGGAAAAAAAAAATAGGGTAAAGAAGAGATAGGATATGCCAGTTCTGTTATGACGAATTAGAAGTAATTCGATTTGATTGCGGAAATCAGAGATGTGGTCATATTTGCGAAGATGAAATATAAACCGTACACGAATATTTTGAAGTCGCTAAAGTTTATTTAAGTAATCTTCTGTAACATTAACACAACAGAAATCGGCATAATCTATAAGAGCATATCTAGTAAAGAATGCGTCAATCAATGTGTGGTAATCAGATACAAAGTTTTACAAAGAAATAAACATTACTATTCTACTTAGTTTAAAGTCTATATTGCAAAATCAAATCTTATCTCTTAAGTATGAAACTTACCTATCCTAATTACTGTCTGTATCACACATTTATTCATACCAATAGCGGTAAATCTTCTTCTCTAACCTAATTTTTCATATCATTTCTTTCTACTTCGTCCCTTCTTAATCGCTATTCGTATTTAACATAATATACTACTCGCAAACGAAACAACTGCTAATAATAAAGGAGGGTTTACCAGTAGTTGCCATGCTTGGCAAGTGGATTGGTAACTGCAATTAGGCTTTGAAAATATTTTAAGAAGAACGCTGCTGGCCATCCTCGCCCTCCCGATGACTCTCGATGAATCCCGAACGCAGAGTGATTGGCAATGTGAAATAACATAGCATTAGTAACTTGTTCTTTATACAACATTTCACTCGGCACTTGTGAAATATAACTGTTTTTTTTTTGTAATATAAAGATTTTTTATAGAAAATAATATAATTTTTATATAACATTGGTTTTAAGCAATGGATTACATTAATTAATAACATACTGAAAGTTACACAATATTTTCGCCACCTTCACGTTATTCTGAACTTTGGTAATTCTTTTTGTAATCTTATAACCAGAGGAAGATTTTGTACCTATAATTGCGTTTTTTTTTTTGCATCATAAGCTTCGATTTGAAAATCATGATAGATAAAGGGTTCGGAACTTCATACAATGGATAGATATCTGCAGACAAATCTTACTTCTTATCTCACTAATAAAATAAATTTGTAACTGCACAGTGTCTGTACATAGAAAATATTTCCAAAAAAATTGATGTAAGAGGTTTTAATAGGAACAACAGAAGCCAAAATAATAACATTTAGAAATTTGATATGTCTGGTTGTATATTTGTTCCAAGACCACGCAAAAACAACTGTATCAAAATCAGTTTTCACTATTATGTTACTGAGGGTTTTAAAACTGGCGTATGTTTTATTTTGATATGTTGTTTTCCTTATTTTGAAATCCGCGCGTACGAGCAGCGGACAAAACTACTCTATTATTATACACACACAAACTAATAGAAGATAACAGTATGTTTGTTACAAATAGAAACAATATAAAAGTTAATAATGTCAATATTATAAATTCTATTTATGTACAAAAAGCGGCTGATAAGCCCGTGGCCTAAGGTATTATATAGAATAAAACGGGAATGAGATATCTCGTACATTTATTCTGTTCAAAGAAAATGTTAAGGCACATTTCAATTCATGTCACAAGCAACGTAATGATACAAGCAATTACAGTCTAAAGATACAAAATGTTCGTTCTTTACGCATTCTCACGCGACGATCGATTGCTAGATCGAGAGAGATTCTCTGCGTGTGCAAAAATGATGACACCGAGTGGCTTGATGAAACCAACGTTGATCTTCAACAAAGCACAGTGCCAACAGTTGATTTTCAAGATGCTTATCCACTTGTTAGTGTTGAAAAAAGTTCCGCGGATCACGGATTACGTGATCCGTGGAGGACAATGTCCAATAAATATATTTATGTACAATTATGTTTTTTACACCTTCTTTTATTATTTTTATGCCAGTCAAAAACAACTTGTATCCCCTTAATGTATTTTTATGGAGATTATTATTACTTAAAAAAT